TTATTTGACCTCATATTTAATCTGGTGTACTGATGACAAGCCACCTTGCTTATCTACAGCTGAAGAATTAGAGCGTTCAGTTTGTATATCTCCAGCTAATATACAAATGTCTACAAGAGAGATTTTCACTAAAATTCCAAAATCCTTTCACCACTTTTATTTTCTACCTTTCATATTTGAGTTAGACGAAACCAGACAGACTGCCAGAACTGAAAAAAAAAAACCTCCTAAATAACATGCATGACATCAAAAGTACAGCTGCTTTCCTCAGCAAATCATCCTATACAAGGCGAGGATAAATTTTAATTGATGAAATATATGATATTAATTGTAATTTAGGCTTCGTTTATGTCAATTTGCTGTTAGTCCATTAGTTTATAAGAAGCCCTAAGATGATCAGAACCAGCACAGCTATTTCAGCTGTTGGTTTGTGCACAAATACGTTTCCCAAATCTAAATACCACATGTATCTACCTGCTACATTTACTTTTGAATAGTGTGGAATAAAACTAGACTCCAAATTAGGAGCATACAAGGTAAGATATTGAAGTTTAAACTGTTTTCTCTGACCTCAGGGGCAAAATATAACTTGGTGTAATGGAGCATGTCAGGGGAGCCAGCTCGTTCCAGTTTCAGACAATGTATCAGTTGCTGCACCCGCTACCTCCTAAAAACCCACATTATGCAAGCAATTTCTAAAAGATTAACTCTTCGGCTTCCATTTGCTCCTATATTTTCAGCGATTCTTTTACTTTTCTATTGCAAATTTGTTCTACAATGCATTCAAAGCAATAGACATCAACTTATTTTTATGCTGCTCTTTTACTTCCTCTGTAGGATGACATCATGTTAATGCAACACATTATTTTGTGGTTCTGCCTTTCATGCTTTCAGACTAATAGAAGATAAAATATGACAGTCCTACAACCTATTGATGACCAACACTTTCTCTCCACAGCTTCCTGTTCTTTCCTTTTTGTCTTTCTTTATAGTCCTTTTTGCACTGTCCTTTTAAAGCCAGGTCTGCTTCTTTTATTTCACTTTAGTTTATTTAGGTTGGGCTCTCAATGCTGGATGGAGGTCTAATATGTGTTTTTATAAAAATAAATATAAAAGAAAGGGAAAGAAAAAAAGCCACAGTAGCCTTAAGGGTTTAAAGTTCTTACAAAAAAGACAAACTTTTGATAAACTCTAGCAGAAACCAGATTTTGTTGTGCTGTAGGCTTTCCTTTCACAAAGCTCAAATATCTAACAAACAAAAAAAAAAAAAATCAACACACGACTGCATTTGTTGGACTTGAGTTGTTGGAGTGTTTTGGAATTACTTTTCTTTCAATATTTTTTTAAGGCTGACTCGACACATTTTCTGCCTGTTTGTCTCCCAGAGAAATGTAGAATATATACAATAAATTAATTATTTTTGGTCTTAATGCATCTTCAAGAACTGCTTACAACACTAATAAAGGGACCCATAAAAGATGAATGCGGTGTGACATAAGTCGGCTGCTTCAAGGTTAAGACCAGTTAATTTTTATTGCTCGCTGCCAAATGCAAAAGGGTGTTAATTTGTGTGTGTGGGTGTGGGTGGGTGTGTGTGTGTGGAGGGGGGGGCATTTGTGTGTGTTTAACTATTGGAGTCAACTCTGTCTGTGTGTTAGCTAATTATTTCATGAACTACTGGACAGATTTTGGTGAAACCTTCAGAAAGTAATCATTGGATGTACATCTACAACAGATTATTTTTGAAGTCATTCCAGTTAAAGATGGCCACCATGGCCACATGATCTAACAAAACAAAAATATTTCAATAACAGTCATTTTAGGCTAAATAAATTGGTGCTATAGTACAACACATATGCTAAATACTATACACTTCACAGCATTTTTGCTTAAAAACAAACATTTGCATGAGCTGTTATTTAACAATTATCACATTTTGTTTTAAACAACTGGAC